GGTAAATGTCCCAATAATTCAACAAATATTACCCTTAATGGCGTGAACATCAAACGTGTGACTGAGTTTAAATATCTGGGGCATGTCATTACTAGCAGCCTCAAAGACGATGATGATATTGAAAGGGAGCGAAGGGCTCTGGCGGTTAGAGGTAACATGTTGACTCGCAGATTTTCTCGCTGTACAGAAGAGGTTAAAGTGACGCTATTTAAGGCATACTGCCAAAGCATGTACACGGGAAATCTGTGGGTCAAGCATACCAAGAAATCGCTAGACACTCTTCGAATCCAGTACAACAATGTCTTCAGGATGATGTTGGGCCTGCCGCGGTTTTGCAGTGCATCAGGAATGTTTGCGGAATACCAAACTGATGGCTTCGATGCCATCATTCGTAAAAAAACAAGCTCCCTGATTAGCAGAGTGAGGAACAGTTCCAATAGCATCCTGAAGACATTAGCAAACCGATTTACATCTCCAATTTGGAAGTGCTTTGTGCAAAGAGTGACGATCACGGGAACATACCCTTTCCCCTGATGGTCACTTATGGTAACAAATATAATTGTAGATAATTAATTTATTATTATTATTTTAATGAGTATAATTTTTAATCCCAATTAATAAAATACTAACATATTTTGTAAGCCATTTTTACTAACACAATATGGATGTACAAGTTGTCCGAAATAAATGATTTATTATTATTATTATTTGGAGTATCTATATAGTTTTCTCGTCTGGTTGGGTTCTATAAATATATAATTATAAATGAAAATGAAAAGATAAATATACATAAATATCAATAACATAAAATAAATATAAAAGTACATAAATAAATAAATTATATTATTATATTATTTATATTATTATTATTATTAAACTATTATAGCTAAATGTTTAGTTGTATGGTACAAGAGTAAGGCAGGGGAGATATTCTATAAATGTGTCACACACTTATATTAATATTCAAATGTTATAGTAAATGTTTACAAGAACTTATTCTATATTTCATATAAAAATAATTGAAACTTAGTGACTCAGTTAATATTTCATTTTCTTAAAACAATAAAATATAATATGCAAAATGTTCATTTAATATTGGAGATTTGTCAATCACAAACCAATATTCCAAGTTTAGAAGTAAGTGTAAAATTAATACGTAGATGCCAGTGTGTAGTATACGAGTGTGTGTGTGTGTGTGTGTGTGTGTGTAGTGTGTGTGTGTGTGTGTGTGTGTGTGTGTGTGTGTGTGTGTGTGTGTGTGTGTGTGTGTGTGTGTGTGTGTGTGTGTGTGTGTGTGTGTGTGAAAGAAGTAGTGAGTGTGTGTTGTTATTTTGCTTAACAGTTTGCATTTTTAACTATCTATATTTAATAATTTTACAGTTTCCTCGTAAGATAAAGACATTAAAACTTAATTAGAGCTTGATTATATTTGAAACATGTTAGTCGATCAGTAGGCAAAAACGTTGTTGCCCATAAATCGGATACAATTTGGGATAGTTGCAAATGAAAGAAGAAGCTTTATTTACCGATATTTTCAAAAACTGCAATAACATTGTATCATTATTTATGAATTTAAGCTTAAGTTTCGAATTTGATTACTCTGAAAAATATAATATAATATGTATATAATGGCAACAATATTTATCATTTTATTAGTCTGAACCCAAAGGGTGTTATAAAGATTGTTATACTAAGCCTACAATGTTGGGTCTTGCAGGCTTAGTATTACAGTCCAGACGGAATGTGACAGCCATGCATCCGACATCGCCGCGGCGACTAGTATATGTATACTGGCCGCCTAATAGCAGGTGATTCTAAGGTACAGAATTACATTTCTCAAACTTGCATAATACTAAAACACTACTAAAGGGAGACAAAATTTCTTTAGCAAAATTATTTCTGTCTATTAAGTCATTAGATGAGTTAAAAAAAGGAAAATCAAAATCAATACTGATTACAATATTTCAATTACCTATGTAAAAAAGGATAAAATAATATAGAAGATTTACAATTATGAATGTATTGATAATAACATGCACAATTAAAAACCCTAGCGTGTCTACAATACCCAAGATAGCAATATTTGAATCAAAAACAAGTTAAATAATAAATAAGCTCATGTACACAAGACCAGAGTAAAACCAGCAAATAATAATTTCATTTTGATAATAATTGGTTGTCTATTTATTTCCCTGATTTAAAATTAACCTTAAAATTTTGTCTCTATATTATATGCTTGCAGTTACGACGTAAACAGAATAAATTTTATTCAAAACTTATTAAAGAATACTTGATTACAAAACTCATAAAGTAATTAATGCTTTTACTCGTTTGGGAAAAGCCTCTGTCCTATGTAGAAAACAAGCAAGAAGTCGAAGCGGGCCATTTAAACAAAATGTTACTTAGAATATATTGTTTTACAATTAAATATTAAAACATTTAGAAACAACATTAATCACCCCATTCCCAGGGGTTTATCAATCGTATATTTTATTGTAATAACCTTTTTTTGAACAACTTTGCTTAGTTAAAAATTTTCAGTTTTTGATAGGCTGTATATTTTATGACTTGTTATAAAAGCATATACTTTGCCCCACGAAGGAAAACTTATTCTTTGAAGTGGAATAACTGATATAACTAGCTTGTACTTGTTCCTAGTATTTACAGAAATATACATTACTACTATACTATTTTTAATAAAAACTATTGTTGTTTTTGTGTACATTAAATTAACAAAAACAAAAAAAAAACAAAAATTAATAAAAAACATACATTAAATTTTCGTAAAATTACTAAAACGCTATAGTTAATATATTTACTTCTAAAAAACTTTCTTGAAAAGACTTTTTTGGACTTAGGTTGTAAAGTGCTCTCATGGCTCTCTTCTGCAAAACAAAGTTATTTCGATGTGAAATGCATTAACCCCATTGCAAGATCCCTTATGTAATAAATATGGCGTATCAAAGGGTCACTATCTCTTTGTTATGGATGCAAAATATAGTTGTTTCACATTTGCACCCAAGATAGAGAGAACTTGTAAATTTACTCCGTCCATGTCACAGACTCTTGCAGATATATTCATCCCAGCCTGAGCCTGGAAGTTATGCCAGCTATAACTGATTCAAGACCTGAAATCAAAAATTAAATATGTTTTACAACTGTTGAGCTTTTATAATCAACTTTTATTTCAACTGTTGTAATTAAATGAAAAATCATACAAAGTACTAATATACCTCTTTTATTAGTACAGTAAGTTGATTTGCAGTTAAAAATGCATTGGAGAAATAGTGGCCTCTCCAGTTGGTTGAATACTCAAAGGTGTAAACGGTGCATGCTCCGATTACAAGTTGGCGTTATATAAGGCTGCGTGCTATCACCAAAGCTTTTTTTCACAATTATATGTTGCAAAATGGTAATATTTATTGCTATGCGGATGATAGCATTGGTGATGCTGTATACACCGCCCGTGCCAATATTTCTCGGTAAAACGCCGACGAGTACCGGGACAAACTTGTGTCTGAAGTCGAGTCTTTGCTGAACAAAGTCTCGGATTGGGGGCGACTAGATCTAGTCCAGTTTAATCTTCAGAACAAACAAGTTTGCGCGTTTACCGCTAAAAAGAACCCCTATGTCGTATCTTTTCAGTTTGAAGGCACTTCCGTTGTTGCCTCAGCCAGTATCGGAGTCCTCGGCGTCGACATATCGAGTCATATGCAGTTTCTTGGTCACTTGGAGGGAAAACCAAATTGGCCTCTAAAAAGCTCGGCGTGCTCAGCAGAGCGGGACAATATTTTATGCCGGCACACCGCCTACAACTTTACAAGACGCAAGTTCGGCCTCACATGGCATACTGTTCCTGTTTTGGTCTGGGGCTCCCAATTGCCAGCTCCTTGCACTTGACCGCATCCAGCGCTGAGGGGCTCAAATTTTTGACGATCGAGTGCTTTCCGATCGGCTCATTCACTGGCGCTGGCTCTTTGCATTTTCTTACGCACCTACCACGTGGAGTGCTCTGAGGAATTGTTCGGATTAATCCCAGCCGCCAAATTCCATGAACCCAAATTGAGGCAAAACTCCCGATACCATTCACATCATCTGGGTGCTTGACTGTCCATCACTGTAGGTTTCACTAGGAGTTTTCTTCCGCCTACGACCTCTGTGTGGAATAGTTTACAACCGGCGATTTTTCGGGACCGATACAACTTAGGGACATTCAAGAAAAGAGCTTACTTCTTTTTAAAAGACAGGCTATGCACTTGCTGTTCTCCTGGTGTTGCAGTTGTTCATGGGCTGCGGTAGCCACATAACTCAGGTGAGTCGTAGACTCATTTGCACCCTCTTCTATAAAAAAAAACAAGTGCTTCGATGTTGATATAAGCCTCAAGTTATTTTGATCGCTTAGGCTCCTTGTGAACTTGAGTGATTGTCATCATTAAATTTCCACTTGGTTGAGCTGTCGTCAAAATCCCAAAAAACTTAAAATGTACCAAAACGAATATCCCGAATAAAAATATAGAGATACCTTAAAATATAAGTATCCAAGCCCAAAATATTAAAAAAAATATAAAGACCAACCATAGATAAATATATAAAGTCCGTAGACAGAGAAATAAAGTCATATGTAGGTACGTAGAAAGAGAAACCTATTATGTGTAGACATCTTTGACTAGAGGAAAAAGAAAGGATGAAAATCTTAAAAAAATCTTTTTTCTCTAGTCAAAGGTAGACATAGAATCCTACTGTCTACGCTATTATGTATGTAACATAGGCATGGCCACAGAGTACCTTTTGGTACCTTTGTATAAACTGAAAGGCATAGCCAATCTATGGCATAGCCGCAGGCCGTAGACTCTCTGTCTACGCCGCAGGCATTATCTCTAACTAACGTATTTCTGATTTGAATCATTGAATCGAATATTTGAATTTGGATTTTATCATCAAGTGTTCGTGATAAGTTGTAATGTTTTTGGTTTAGAAAATTCCTCAATTTGTAAAGAAAAATGTCTGACGTGTTTGATATAATAGACTATATTAAATCATTAAAAAAGGGATTTGATAATGACTTGTTTCAAAGTAAAATAAATGAACTTGCATATATTGTGGAAAACGATGGCTTGGAATATGAAGCTTTCCATACTTTGTTTAAAGTTTGGTTAAACTTAAGTATTCGTACGTAAATAAATCAAAATATATAGATTTTTATTAGTCGAATAATACGTATTGTGGATTAATATAGTAAGACTAAGATTTTTTTACAGCTATTACGAAATGGATGAGTTTGGGTTCGTGTTTAGTGCCTCAAGAAAGGCTGGAGCCACGAACTGTCGAATATTCCTTACGCTGGATACTGAATTATGCTGTGAATTCTGAAAATGAGATCACCTTTTCCAGAGTAGGCTTTTTGCTTGATTGGTTAACAGGTATTATGGATTTTTGTTTAAAATATTTAATGTTCGTCTAGAACGTTTCCAACGTTTAGAGCGTTTGCAAACCTTGAGAAATGATTGTTAATTTTAAGGCATTTTAGCCTTAAAATTAACAATCAATCACATAATTTTATAATTTTTCGTTTTTATAGATCAGAAACATGTAGAAATGTAAATCGTAAATCATAATTGCAAATTGTAATTTTTTTTTGGATATGTAGAAAGATATTTTAATGTAATGTAAGGTTATTACAGAAAAGGCTTTTAGAATAAAATAGAGTAGAATATAATAGAGTAGAGTAAATTTTACTCCATAATTATAGTATTACGACTACTGGTTCGGAGGAAACCTCTATCCTGGGAAGAACCAGCAAGAAACACAGCAGAACATTTCTCATTAATAGAATTAATTTACAATATATCACTTTATACGATTAAGAAATACAGAGATTACAGATAATCAACTATGAATTGTACTGAGACTAATTTATTAACTACGAATAATAATTAATTAGTTTCTGTAAATTAATTATCTGATGAGTCGAGGATAAGCTAATAGCGAAATACAACAAGTGTACCATGCCACGTCAGAGCCACTACTCCTAACGGTGGTAGAGAGTAACAAAAGTAGGTAGGTAGAGTAACAACTGCAGGTGCAATATGTAGTTGGTTGGTGCATATGTTGTTTACAAGAATTCTGGCTAGCTATAGAGGCACATGCAACGGCGCAGGTGCTGCCACATATATATGACTAGTAAAAGTATTTTAACCCCTCAGCCCCCAAGCAGTTGAATTCGACCACGGCGCTATTCCGTCAAAATTTAACCCATTGAATTCGACCGTGCACACCCACAGCACTTTAAACCATTAAAACTTATATTTAGAGACTACTTTTCTATGAAGAAGTTTGACATTATAGAATCAATATGAAATTTTCTATCTTCTTCTTCTTTCTTTTGTGGCGGTTGATAAAATTCGCCAATGACGTATTGAGCGGAAAATGAAAGCTTATGAGTGTAATTAAAATAAGGGTCTGTGATAATACAAGGATTCAGTTTTCCTCCGAGAATTTTGACAAATCTGTTTGTTAAATTACCTAAAATAAATATGACAAACACAGGTGTTAGACTATTATCATTATGTTAAAAGTGACAAGGATTTAAATTTCATATTGTTAGTATTAATAAAATCACATAAAATATACACAAAAGGAGTACTAGTATATGTTAAAAGAGAATTAAAATCTATAAAAGTTAATCATAGGGAGGATATAAGGGGAGGAGGATAATTTGGGACAGTTGAAAATAATATGGTTTGTGGAACCTTCATCTAAGCCACATTCACACAATGAGCTATCCCTTACTCTGATTTTTGCCAGATGTACACGTGTACAAGCATGTCCAATTCTTAATCTACAAATGATTGAAGTTGCATGTTTATTTGCTTTGTTAAATTTAAAGAACCAAGGCTTGGGAGGAATAACCTCTTGGATGGTAGCATACTGCTTACCTTTAACATTTTTGGAAACTTCCCACAATTTATTCCAATTTTCATTCAGTTTCCTTTTAGCTAGCAAAATTAGGTCATGTGAGTAAATTAAATTTTGTAGAATGTCATTAGCAATTACATTTTTAGCAAGTACATCAGCTGTTTAGTTACCATGGATACCACTGTGGCCTGGTATCCAGGCCCCCGAAACATGGATTCCTGTAAGATGGCATCTGAATAGGGTATTTTTTATTTTAAGAATTAGTGGAAATTTATGTTTGTTATGGAATTGATTGGACAAAATAGCTAACAAGCAACTTTTCGAATCTGTGAAAATAGCTGTTTTATTAAGATTATGTGACTCGACATATAACAAAGCTTCACTGATTGCAGTTGCTTCACCGGTAAAAGTGGAGAATAGTGAGGAATTTAAAGTTAAGAATGATTTTGAACTTAGGAATCCAAACAGCAGCTCCAGTATAGTCTTCATCAGATTGTTTGTTTGGAAGCGTCTGTGTACATGACAAGCCAATCTTTAAAGGTGTTTTCTATAATTTCTTTTAATTTCAAATTTGCCATTGGAGAATCCTTCTCTATACTTAGATCTAGATGAATGTCAGGTTGGTAAACAATAGCCTCGTAAGGAACATCAAAGAGTGGATTTATTTTACATTGAAAGATTGGGTAAGGAAGCTGAAGAAAAATTACAAAACTTTTAAACAAGCAGGGAGAGTCCTTATGGGTCCAGTATCGGTCAGATGAGATATACTCTGAAAGAAGATGCAATTTTGGAATTAGGGGATGATCTGAAAGCTGGCAGATCTTAAATAAGAATCTGTCTGAAAGGTATTGCCTTCTTAATCTTAAAGGAGGATCTACGCACTCAACCTGAAGAACATTTATTGGTGAGGATTTCATTGCCCCTGTAATAATGCGAAGGCATTTCAATTGGATTTTGTCCATTACTTTCAGGGATGATTTATTGCAAGGCTCCAGGAGAAAACATCCATAGTCAAGGTGGTTTCGTATTGATTTGTTGCTGATTTACCACGTGCTCGGCGGTGAAGGAAAACATCGTGAGGAAACCTGCATGTCTGAGGAATAAGAAAAAAAAAATATTTCGAATACATGTGAAGTTCGTCAACACGCATTTGGGCAGCGCGGCGGACACTTCCTTGCCCTAAACCCTCTCAGAAATGAGGGGAGGCCTGAGCCCAGCAGTGGGACGTATATAGGCTGTAACTTTACTTTACTTTTACATTAATTTCTGAGAAAAGGGATAGGACCCCCACCGAACATCAGACAAAGACCGAAGAATATTTATGTTTTTTTTTCGCATTTCTGTGTTATATATTCAATGTGATGACCGAAGCCCAATTTCGAATCGAGGATAACTCCCAAAAATTTTACATTGCTTCTAATTGGAATAGGTTGCGTATCATAAACAACAGATATATCGGGAACTCGCCTTTGGCGGGAAAAGATCACCACACTACTCTTGGCCACAGATAAAGAGAGGCCATGATTAGTTAACAATTGTTGTAAATAATCCATGGATGAGTTTAGACGGGAACATGTCACTGCGAAGTTGTTTAAGGAGATGTATAGAGCTAAATCGTCTGCATATTGAAGAACATTATAAAAAGAATTTACTGAAAGTTCTAAATCATGAGTATATATAGAATAAAGGAGAGGACTAAGAACAGCCTTGTGGAAGTCCTTTCCATATAGTTTTTGGAGGAAGCAGGAAATTTTTTACATTTATAGATATTGATCTAGAAGAGAGAAAGTTAGAGACGTAATTGACTATCCTCACTGGAATGCTCAGATTAAGCATTTTCTGCCTGAGCACAGAAAGAAGCATATTATCATATGCAGAAGAAATATCCAAGCAAACTCCTATGAGAAATTCATGTCTTGAAAAAGCAATATGAATATCTGTGACAAAGTACTAAGGCTATCCACGGTACTTAAACCTTTTCGGAAACCGAATTGGCTTTTAGGTAACACATTGTTCCTTTCCAAAAACCATTCCAAGCTATTTTTTATTAAATGTTCCAAGATTTTTGCCAAAGTACAAGAAAGGAAAATAGGTCGGTAACTGGAAGGGTCATTGCTAGACTTACCTGGTATGGGCAAAATAATTTGGGTTTTCGATTCAGCAGGGGGATCACCACATATAAATAAAATTTAAAATGGATGGTAAGACAGTTTTAGTGTTCTCACTACTATTAATTATAAATGAATAAGGAATCCCATCAATACCTGGTGAGGAGTCTTTAAGTCCATTGAGTACAGTAAACAATTCCTGAGAAGAAAAGGTGGAATCAAATTTAAAATTTGTTTTTATAAAAGCAGAATTAAAAACTAGGCATTCATCATAAGATGGAACTGTTTGTGGTGCAAGTTTATTAGAGAATTCATCTATCCATGGGGAAGGATCATAAGAAATTATATTTTCACTAGAAACTGCACAGCAATATTTGTTAACATTTCTCCAGACCAAAGATGGGGGAGTCCTAGGTGACAGTGACTCACAGAATTTAAACCAACCAGTTCGCTTTTTGTCTGACAGTAATTTTAAGGTTTCTGCAGCAATTTTTTTGTAGAGATATAATTCTCTGCAGTCATAGAACGGGAGTATATTAATTCAGCCTCTTTTCTTCTCCTACAAGCTGCTGAGCAATCTTGGTCCCACCAAGGAGGGGAAGGATAATTATTTTTGATTGTTTTTTTTTTTAATGGGATTGACTTATTAGCACCAGAAATAATTGCATTCCTGAACTCTATATATACAGGAACAATATTATCATTGTTAATTGGGGGAAGAGTTGAAACCTCTCGTTCCAAAACTGTAGAATATAATTGCCAATTAGCTTTGGATAGATTATACTTTAGTCTCGGGCAAAATGTAGAATTTATTCTAGGGGAAGTAGGAGGAGTAATGAATATAGGAAAATGGTCACTGCCGTAGCTAGAAGGTAATATTAGCCACAAAAGAAGGGAAGCAATGTCTGGGAAACAGAGAGTTAGATCAACGGCACTTCTAACATTTTGTAATGGTGATACTTGACGGGTAGGAGATCCGTCATTTAGAATACAGAGATTAAAATTATCAATAACATCTAAAAACAGGGAGCCAGTGAATCACACAGATGGGAGCCCCAAACAGTATGATGCATATTAAAATCTCCCAAAATAACCATAGGAGGTGACAGAGAAGAAATAAGTGCTGCAAGTTCTGTTAAGACATTAACATCAGGATTAGGAATGTAAACAGAGAGAATAGAGACATCAAGGGCCTTAATAGCAACAGCATTTACTGCTGGACTATGAGAAGGGAGAGAAATTTGTGAAAATGTAACTGTTCTTGAAATTAAAATAGAGGTGCCAGCACAACCATCACTCCATCATCCCGGAGGCATGCATAGCCTGAAACCCTAAAATGAGAATCAGGCCTAAGCCATGTCTCCTGTATGGCAAGAATGAATGGATGAAGTTTATTA